ACACACACACACACACATACACACACACACTCTCTCTCTCTCTTTCTCTCTCTAACACACAAACACACTCACAAACACTCACAGGCACACACACATACACACACACATACACACACACGTACACACACACACCCAAGTATCATGCACATAAAAATAACCCTCCAAAAAGGCACGCCTTCACTCTTGGGTGGTTGGGGTCATTATTTGAACAACAAACACACTCACACTCACACACACACACACGCACACACACACACACACACCTCTGGTTGAGACTTAACCGGGAAGAGAAAATTGTCTTTCCCTTTCTTGGAAGGCCGCGTTTTCATTGAACGCCTCGTATCCAAGGGAGGCGACGCTCTCAGCCGGTCGTTAAGGGCGGGGCTTGAGCATATGCCGTCATCTGGGTGGTCGTAGAGCGGCGAGGGGCGTGGCTTCTCCGGGGGCGCCATCACAGCAGATTGAGGAGGAAATTCCAGCTCCTGTTGCTGTGGTTGTTGTTGTTGTTGTTGTTGTTGTTGTTGTAGTTGTTGTTGCGGTTGATGTTGTTGCTGCTGTTGTTGCTGTTGCTGTTGTGGTGGCTGCTGCGGCTGTTGCTGTTTTCTTCTGTCTGTTCTTCGTCTTGGAGGGGGTGCTCTATCCGGGGGTAGACAGTCTAAATCAGACTGGTGGTTCTGCTGCGAGTGCGGCTGATGTTGTTGTTGTTGTTGCTGCTGATGCTGTTGTTGCTGTTGTTGTTGCTGCAGCTGTTGGTGTTGTTGACGATGCTGCTGCTGCTGCTGCTGATGTGACGATGATGGTGGTGGTGGGTCCAGTGGTGGGGGTGGAGACGATGGTTCCTGCTGCTTGTGGTGAGGGGAAGAATGGTGATGGTGGTGGTGGGGCGAGTGGTGATGATGTTGTTGGTGCTGCTGTCGATGGGGGTGGTGGGATTGCTGATGCTGTGGCGGTGGTTTCTCTGGGTTGGGCGAGTGTCTACGGCGCCGTCTACCGGAGTGGCGGTCTGGGGCGTGGTGATCTACGTTCTGTAACGTGCGTGACACAAACAAGGAAGAAGTTTATAATAATATCGAAAACAACTAAAACATCATCATCATCATCATCATCACCATCATCATCATCATGATGATGATCATCATCATCATCATCATCATCATCCTCATCATCATCCTCATCATCATCATCATCATCATCATCATCATCATCAG